CAGTATAATGTCAACTATTCATGGAAAAAGTTTGAGCTGGCGTACTATTACTTAATTTTTTTTTTTTTTTACCACTTCCGCAACCTCCCAATTCCACACCCACCGCGGGTGCGCCAGCTGACGCTTGGTTCAGTTATAAGTATTTCGCGATAAATAGTAAAGGAAGGCAAACAGTCGGCGTAAAATCACTGCCGAAAATGCAACGCTACCTCCCGGACTATCTAGGAGGTACTTTTTAAACGTAGTATTAATAACATTTCCATTTCAAATTATAAATCTATAGTTAATGAGTTTGTAACTTTGTACCTATTTCGATATTTTTCGCAATTCTGTACAAAATATTGAGTTTGTGTACAAACTTATAAATTTTCATTGATAACAGTTTTTTGATGTTACCGCTTAAATTGAAATTAAATGAAATCTGTATTACAAGTAAATTTATAATTCGTGCTCATTACCAAGCATGTCGCCACACTCAACGCACATGGAACGTGCTTCCAGAATTATGTAGGTACTAGAATTGTCGCTCAGAAGCTAGTTCCGAATATAAAAATTTAACTTTTAGGAATCAACCAATAATTAACATGACGATAACAATATGCAATGCAAGAGTTACAGAAATTTCTTTTGTTACATCATTTTGTAAATATATAAACTTTAATTACTATTTATGAACAAAAACAAATACTTTTAACAAGAATATTTATTTATCGTAAAACATGGGTACAATAATCCCGACGGTAAGGCGACAACTGACTTCCGTCACATAAAAAAGATTTTATCGACGTGCTCGGCTATTCTGCAATATAGCATTTTTCGGGAACAGTGCCTTGTTTATCAGCTGACTGGAAACACGGCCATCCAGCGAGGAAGCGCCCACGCGACTTGTTTATTTATTTTTCTTTTACCTATAAAAGATTAGGAAGCAGTATTTTCATTCTTTATATTAATTAATAATGTTTGCTAACGCAATAAAATTATGATGTGATTTTTTTATTCGTATTAGTTTAAATGGGATTGCCATAAATCTCTTCAATTATACTGGTTTTAACAGGTATTTATGGAAATGCCATTAATCATTATTTAAAGTAACACTGATATTTCAGTAGACATTAGTGGGATTGCCAATAATTATTCTTTCAATTATTGTTGGTGGGAGCACTTATGCTGTTACTTTATTATCATAATCTATTCAGGAACATTTGGTGGGATTACCACCCTAACACTAAACACTAGTGCTACAACACTAAACTCTAGTGTTAATTTGTTATCATGATTTATTCAGGAACATCTGGTGGGATTGCCACCCTAACACTAAACACTAGTGCTACAACACTAAACCCTAGTGTTAATTTATTATCATGATTTATTCAGGAACATCTGGTGGGATTGCCACCCTAACACTAAACACTAGTGCTACAACACTAAACCCTAGTGTTAATTTATTATCATGATTTATTCAGGAACATCTGGTGGGATTGCCACCCTAACACTAAACACTAGTGCTACAACACTAAACCCTAGTGTTAATTTATTATCATGATTTATTCAGGAACATCTGGTGGGATTGCCACCCTAACACTAAACACTAGTGCTACAACACTAAACCCTAGTGTTAATTTATTATCATGATTTATTCAGGAACATCTGGTGGGATTGCCACCCTAACACTAAACACTAGTGCTACAACACTAAACCCTAGTGTTAATTTAATATCATGATTTATTCAGGAACATCTGGTGGAATTGCCACCCTAACACTAAACACTAGTGCTACAACACTAAACTCTAGTGTTATTTTATTATCATGATTTTTACAGAAACATTTGGTGGAATTTCCACCCTAAGTTAACAAAAACAATTTTTTTTTTATTTAATATTGTGGGATTTCCACTCACCGTTTTTATAGTTGCTGCGACGACCATGGCCTCAATTGATCGTGGGCGGCTACTGTCGTTCGCTGTCCCTTTCTATGAAGATGGTATCTTTCATATGGTAAGACCTCTCGAACAGTGTAAGGCCCTTTGTATTTTGGCTTCAGCTTTCCTCCTCCGGCAAGCTGTGAATTTTCAATAGCCACGATGTCGCCTGGCTTAAATAATGTGGCCCTACGCCGAGTTTGATTAAATCGTTGAGCTTGACGGTCAGAAATTTTTTTCATGCGTTGTTGTGCCACCTCGACGGCTTCCTCTGGGTCAATAAACGAATCATTAGGTGGTTCACTTCCCAAAAATTGTCGAGTTGCTGCCAATTTTGGGTTCGTGCCAAAATGCAACACGGTAGGTGCATAACCAGTTACTGAGTGGACCGTTACATTCAAATCGTCTTCTACTGCTGGCAGGGCGGTTATCCAATGGCTTTCTTTTTCTTGCGTAAGTGTGGCTCTCAATAAATTGAACATTGTCCGCATGAGACTTTCCACTTGGGCATTCCCTCTAGGTACACCAGTTGCAATATGATGTAACTCAACTTGCTGTTCACTTAAGAAATTTTGAAATATGGTAGAAGTAAAAGCAGCAGCTCTATCCGCCACTATTCGTTTGGGTCTGCCTAATTCTTCGAAGACCGGCAACAGCGCGCGAATAGAACATTCAGACGATTTTCTCGGAATTGGCTGTAGTCGGCATAATTTTGAAAAGGCGTCAATGATGACAAGGATTTGCGTACATCCATTTGATTTAACTAGCGGGCCAGCATGATCAATATGCCATATTTCCAAGATATCATCTGGTTTTTCTCCTTGTTGCCAAAATCCACGTCGTGGACCAGTATGTGATTTTCCTATTGTGCAAGCTCTACAATTTTTTATGTATTTTTTTAAGCACCGGCCCATTTTCGGCCAATATAAATCTTCACGTAATTTCTGAATGCACTTGTCCCATCCTATATGCGAAGACTCATCATGAAATAAATTCATAGTAAGCAATCGCGCTGAGACTGGCACGAAATATTTTCTGGGTTTTGTTTTCGTTACGACCATGTCCCTCTCAACAGTTAGGTCAGGGTCGAAGACCCGATTATCGATTATTTGTTGACAAAAGGTATCGCTATGCTGGAATTCTCGCAACGTATTTTTATCGGCGATTTTGTGTATGTTTGTTGTTTTTAAGGCACACACTTTTAATTCGGTTAAATCATTCACTGGATTCCGGCTTAAATAGTCTATGTGTTGCATTTTATGTCCAGGGGGTCAATTCTCGACTTGTAGGAACCTTTTCCTATAGGAATTTGTGACACTTTCCTATATGTAGGAAAATGTCATAAATTTTCGATGTATGTAAAAATGTCAAAAATTCCTATAGGAAAATATTCCTACGAGTCGAGAATCGACCCCCAGGGCGGTATTCAATAGAAAAATCATAGTCTTGAAGTTTTACCCACCACCGCGCAACACGAGGGTGTAAATTTTTCTTTAATGCAGTTGCCCGCACTGAGTTACACTGTAAAATGTTTTCCATATAAGTACACTCGAAAATGTTCTATTGCCTCTACAATTGCAAGTGTTTCTAAGTCATAACTGTGATAACGAGATTTTCAAGCGGTAGTGCGGCGGCTGTAATAGGCAACAGGTTGAAGAATACCGTTTTCCTTTTGAAAGAAAGCAGCAGCTAGACCTATTGAACTGGCATCAGTGTGTAGTTCACAGGGCAACTCTGGGTTATAAAGTCGCAATACAGGAGAATCAGTTAGCTTCTTAATAATTAATTGTCTTGCTGACTCACACTCGGGCGTCCACTTAAACGGATGATTTTTCTTTAATAAGGATGTTATAGGTGCGGTCAATTGGGAATATCCCTTTATAAAACGGCGGAAATATCCTGCTAAACCCAAAAATTGCCGTACACCTTTTACATTTGTAGGGGCTACAGTTTAGGTTAAAGCATTAATCTTTCGTGTACTCGGGCGTACTGTTCCTTCACGTAGTCTTACTCCTAAATATTCAGTCTCTTTTGCAAAGAAAACACACTTTTCGTAATTCAAAGAAAATCCTGAGGTAGCTAAAGCCTCTAGCACTTCTTCTAAGTTTTGCAGTCCCTCTGAAATAGTAGACGACGGCACTAACACATCATCTAAGTAAACAAATGCTTTTTTCCCTTTTAGATTACCTAAAGCTTTGTCGATAGCTTGCTGATAAATACTTGGCGAATTAACGTAGCCGAATGGCATTCTGTTCCATTCGTATAGTCCATCTGGCGTCACAAAAAGCTGTAATATGCCTGGAAGATTCGTCAATTTCCATTTGATGGAAACCTGACCTCATATCTAAGATAGTAAAATATCTGGCTTGGCATAAGGCATTTAGTTGGTCCTGTATAAGTGGCAAAGGATATCTTTCCTTAACCACTTTTTTATTTAGGTCACGGTAATCCACGCACATTCTTGGCTGGCCATTTATTTTTGTAACCAACACTATAGGGCTGGCATATTCTGAGTTACTTTCGCGAATTATGTTGTCCTTTAAAAGTTCACTTATTATATTCGCGACTTGAACACGCTCTTGATATGCTAATCGGCGAGGACGATATACCACCGTAGTATTGTCTTTCAATGTTATTGTCATTTTTCCAGTTAGAATATGATCTGGTGTCATATTCCTATATTTCACCAACAACTTTTCTAAGCACAACTTTAAATTAGTACCTAAACTAGGTTGATTAATTCTAATTTCTGGAACACACTGTACAACGAGTACTTTCTGAATGTTACACGGCCGATATTGTAACTCAAGTCCGGTATTGTTTTTCACTATGTGGACAAATGGCTGACTTATTATGTCCCAGCCAATAATAATATCCAATTCACAGGGAATAACTTTATCAGGAACAACAACAAAATTAATTTCTAAAGTTATTGTAAGCAAAACCAATATCAGTTTACAAACACCGACAGGATAAACAATTTGGTTTCCGAAACCTACAAAGGCACGCACTTCGCGGCTTGGCTTTATAATACCGTCTAACGCAACAACTACGGAATGTTTTATTATTGACAACTCAGCACCTGTGTCGATGAGATACATGAATGAAAGCGTCTTTTCTTCGCATAAATTTGTGTCTATCGGTGTGGTTGATAAATGGCGTCATTTCTTCATCAAAAACGCTTTTTTAGGCTTTCCATGCTTAAGCCAACAATTTATATCGGTGTGGCCCATTTTCTTACAAAAATCACACATAGGAATCTCGTTAGAGGTTGATGAACTATTAAGGGTTGATTCGCCTTTTTTATCTTTCTGGACCATTCGGCACTTATTTTGATGATGTCCAAGCCGGCCGCATTTAAAGCATTTAGAAATCGGTTGTCCAAATCGTGCGACCTTTTTATCGTGTTTTCCCTTTGACCTTCGTTCTATTCCTCGTTTTTCGACGCAATTTTTGAATGCTCTGGTACGGCGGGCGTCAAACCCGCTGAGTAATACTAATAACTCACGTTCAGATGTTGGCTTTTGCACACGAATCGCAGAACTGGCTTCGGGGTGGTCCATACCATGATCGACCATACTGAGAATAACATTCCATGGTAACTGACTATAAAATCGGTTTATGGCACGTAATTTTTGGTGTGCATATTCAGATAATGAATCACAGTCCCGGCTACTTAAAGTTGCAGCTACGTGTGCACGTGTACCATGGGTTTCGCGATCAGGAAATGCAACCATGAGATCATTGCAGAAATTGTCCCATGTTCTAGATAAGGGTCTCCAATCACGATAATAATGATATCCCCGATGTCTCAGTGCATTGCCAGCTTTGCTAACCATTACAATATCGCTGACGTTGAGTTCTTTCTTCAACTTTAAACAATCTTCAAGCCATTCGTTAATTGGATACAAACTTTTATCAGGGTCATAGCTCGTAATCTCAAAAGAATGCGCTTGCGCACTCGACGGCACCATTCCTGAGACACTGGGCGTTGGCTGCAATGGTGACGTCACACGCTTTGTTTGACTTGTTAATAATGCAATTTTTTGCTGCTGAGCTGCTACTAAATTAATGAGTGTTTCTTGCCACTGAGCCTTAGGACGTTTTGCACGGGGGGATAAAGATAAGTCGCTGTGTTCACTGTCACTAACAATTTCACCGTCTTCAGCCATTTTATAGTTGTTACTTGTACAAAAGTTACTTTTAAATCACAAACAAGACAAATGGCACACTGGGCAGGAGACGATCCCACTTCTGATATAAACTTTAATTACTATTTATGAACAAAAACAAATACTTTTAACAAGAATATTTATTTATCGTAAAACATGGGTACAATAATCGCGACGGTAAGGCGACAACTGACTTCCGTCACATAAAAAGATTTTATCGACGTGTTCGGCTATTCTGCAATGTAGCATTTTTCGGGAACAGATCCTTGTTTATCAGCTGACTGGTAACAAATATAATAAGTGAAAAGAGGCGTACCCAAAGTTGTCATTAGCATCTAAAAATTTGCTGAAAATTCCAATTTCAGAAGTAGCCTACGAGAGAAGTTTTTCCAAACTGAAGTTACTTGAAAAACAGGCTAAGGAGTAGGTACTCTCAGTCAAAACCGACGACTTATACGAAACTACATATTAAATACAATAGAAAATAACGACGTCATTGACCATTCATGAAAGAACCAATATTTAATTTCTAAAAAAAAACTCTGCAAAACTTTATAGCATTTTCTTACTTTCCTCTTTTCGATATGGATAAACAAGGACACAAATATACTCAGTGCGTATTGCTAATGCTAATGGAAAATGCTATGAGGTTCAGAGTTCCTTTTTTATTTATTATATGTAGTTTCTTTTTTTATGTAAAAATGGAGTTTGTTTTTATTTATCAGTTATTGTAAAATAATTTGTGGTTAATTTATTAATAAAAAATTATAAAATAATGCTTTTTTAATTTTTTTTTTTAATTGACTGGCGTAGCGCCGTTTTAATTGCCTTCCTGCGCCGGTACAAGGGGTCCCATCCGCCCCTAAATGGAACTATTAAGTTCATAAGATCTTGGTCACTTTAGTTAATGGACCTTTTAATATTCATTATGATATTGACCCTTGATTGTACATATATTCATGTTTGAGTAGGACTTAAACTGAAAAATCTGGAAAATGGAATGTTCTATAGAGATCAACCAAAGGTCCCTTTTTTGTAACAAATTTTGTGAGGAATAATTTTTAATCTCAACTTTTATGAAATATAGGATGTTCAAAAAGTTGGTATTAAAATTGTGTTCTTAGCCCTTGATTCTACGCCAATGGGTTATCGTAATTTATCGAAATAGCGTGTAATAACTAATGTTTAACTAAAATAGGTATACATATTTTAAGTTTAAGTCTTTACCGTAAGGAAAGATATTTAGAAAAGTATGTAGGTATTTAGAAAATTATGTATTTATCTAACTCACGTTATCACCCTGTAGAATGAAAACTTTGACGTTTACAATTATTATATTTAGCTTTTCTTAATAAATAGTTAAGATCTACAAATGCCAAAGTTATGATACTTTTTTCTGAAACACCCTGTATATTATATACTATAATAATTTGGTGTAATAGTGTGTGAATTCTAGAAAATTGTAAAAAGTGCTGTGGAAAACGTAGTTCCCGATGCTCTCGTCCCTTTTCAGAGATTAATTCGAGAGACGCTAAAATGGTGGTTCCCACCTTATCGAGACTAAGGCCCACAAGGGTAAACTCGTAGAGTAAAAAAAACGAGAAATGATTTAACTTGGAACGAAAGACCTAAAGCCGATAGTAGTATTAACACGTTGAATTTTCTGGTTTGTGAAGCATTGGCATTACTTAGGTCAAACCATGTGATGATTTTGACAAGCCTTGATTTTTAAAACCATTTTATATTATCTTTTAATTGGGGTTTACAAACTTGTTCGAGCAATTTATCTAATAATAATTGGCTCCTTTACCTATTAAGCCTACTCATGTAAAATATTTGGGGTCCTTACTTCGCCTATTTATCTAAAAATATTTGATCTCTTTTAAATATGTTGTTGCTAACCTACGTATAAAAATTTTAAATGGTTTCAAAAAAGCGGCAACATCTTTTTTTATTTTGATAAATTTATTAATACCAATTCTTTGGGCAGTGCATTTATCGTTCTGATAGTTTAAAAATAGTAATTATGTTTCAAAGTTTTCGAAAACTACATTGTTTATTACTTTATAGATGACGTAATATTAATATTTAAAAATTATGTACTGCATCAATTCAATCAAAATGGATAAATAAATCATCGGGTGTGACCGGAAATAAATTATGTCGAAAATAAGGTATTTTTTTATATTTCTTTTTTGTTGATTTTAATTGGACACTTGGCAATACCGTGCTAATTTGTATTGACAGAGCATGACAGATATAATTCTAAATTCTAATTAATGTTTGGAATGTTAGACGTTAGGAATGATTGGAATGCGTAAAATAAATCACATAAGAATTGTATGGGCGGATTTTAAAAACATGGACATTAAAGTTGCAGACGTTCTGTAATATCACCCTAAATTTGAAAAGGTTTGTTAAATGATGAAATTTGGTAAGAACAGTTTTGTGGTAATTTTGTATTCGACAACAACAATTTCATCATCCTGGTGAATAGTTTCTTTTGCAATAGGTTCTAGTATTTTCTTCTTTTTTTTTATTCAGTTCGGTTCGATGGTGGTTTTCGTCTTTTCCTAATACTGGACAAGTATGAAGGGAGATTCGGGAATATACATGGTATTGCTTCGTTCTTTAATCTTGGCCTTTCCCTTTTTATTTTGTTAACAGTGCCATTAGTTAAAATAGTCTCATCAAATTTTAAAATATCATCTTCTAAAAAGTGTAGCTCGCAAACAGAATCATAACTAGACAGTACCTAACTTATCAGCCCTAGGAATCACATGCTGCCATTGTTCTAAACGTTTAGGGTCCTATAAAAAATATTTGCAATGACTAAATTGGAGTTCAATAAAGAAAAATAACAGTAGTAACTCTTCATTTAACATCAAAAAACATAAAAAAGCAAATTTTCTTTTCTAGTGAGTTAAATTTAATGTGTAATTATTGTTGTTTGCAAGACAGGATTTATGACTTTATTATTTTTTATTATAGAATTTTGTAATTAAATAAACTACACTCCGTAAGATACGGGTTGTGACTATTTTACAATAAATATATATTATTTAGAAATAAATACATTATTTTACTTACACTAGGAGCTTTAAAAAGATTTGGATTTTTATCTCCTTGTGTTTTCCTTAATTTTATATCTGATTTATATCCCGTTTTTCAACCCGAAACGAAGAAATCCTGCTCATTGTTACTTGTAGTCAGGTTCTTTATTTCAGCTTATTTTTATTCTTTTCACTATTTACAAAAATCACTTTAATTTCCATTGACTTGCATAGAAAATAGACGTCGTTATTTTGCCACCCGCCAACTACAGTAGTTTTTTGGAACTCCATAACAATAGGGACGGAAATTTGAAATTTGACCAAGGCCGATTTGCCTCCTTATCTCTAGTCTTCATAATTATAAGAAACTAAAAATATTTCTAAACATTTAAAAAACAATATGTTAATTTTTAATTGCGCCTTTATTATTTTGTTTTGTTTTAGATATCCCTGGGTATGGAGACTTGCAATGGGCATTGCAACTAAGCTGGACTGAAATAGATGGAAAGATGGGTAAAAGGATAAAAGAGTGGTTCAGTGCCAGAGTTGCCTAACCAATAAAATATCAAAACAACTGGTCTTCGTGTATGTTTAGGCAACTCAATAGAGCTTGAGAATATTAATGGATAAAGGAGTCAGAAAAAAAATTCTTGGCTAAGTGGGTTGCATGAAAATTCATTAAAATTTAGTTGCCTGATAAACTTTGACGGAGATTTAGAATAAATAATTTAAAGTTTTTGTAAATCAGACATAAAACAATCTTTTAATTTTACATATAGGTATAATACATTATGAATATAAAACAATATGATAATTAAAATTGAATTGATCAGGGAAAATTGATTGGCTTAGTAAGTAAAATTAAGATCAAAATGTAGGCATAACGTTTTTATAATAAATTAATTCTAAATATTAATTATTTTGTTTTCTGTGAAAAATTACCTATATTTTGTTATTTTGTGTAATAATAAGTCAATACTAGGGATTTTTAAAACAATAATTGTGGTACTTATAGATATGACTTGGGTTCTTTTTAATTTTTTAAAATTATAATTTTATTTTTAAAATTTGTACCCAGTTTTTGTTAATAATAAAATAAATGTCACATGGTTATCTTACATTTTATTGTTTCAATAATTTAGTGTTTATATTGTGAATATGCTGTTGAATATATAATGTAATGGCATAGTTACCTATTCTATAAATAATATAACTTATTCCAAATGTTTTTGATTTTTCATTTAAAACAAGTGACATTTTCCGTTTTCAGCATTTGCTTACAATAAAAATTCATTCGTTTTAATTATTTTAAGTAAAAGCTGTAAAATAGGAAAATGTTACTTGAAATTGTTTCAAATTTCATAAATTCTAAAGCCCGCCATTTTTTAAATTTCTTTACTTAGTAGTGTTCTACTTTACCGATTGTACCGAATTCTAGTTTATCATATCGCGCTTAGCGCGCTACTGTCTAGGTCAAGCAAACTTGTTACAGTTGTTACCAGTGTTGCCAGAATATATTTTTGTATTGTACCAGATTTATCTAAAAAATGTACCAGATTTCATAAAAATTTACTAGATTCTATAAAATTACCAAATTTTTCTAAATATGAAGTATGGTCATTAAAGAGCAAAAAAGGTTTATAGAGAACACGAACACAACAATTTAAAAAAAAAAATTATCTCTCGACA